AAAATTGTTATAAGTACACCTTTGCATAACACTGTTACTGTCCTTATTAACGTATAAAAGAAATATGGACCAACTTACAACAACGAATAGCTTTAGTAACTGGAACAGAAAAGATTTAAAGTGCATCTGAAATTCAAAAATAACATTAAATCCTTAATTTAACAATAAATATTTTTTGACTCACCATGTTAAACCATACGATACTGAAAAATAAAATTACATAAAATCAATAACTAATAATGCATTCAAACTAATCACCAACATTATCTCAGGAGAACAATATTAAAAAAAAACTTTAACCAGCAAAACAAAAATATATAAAAGTATTTGTGCTTTTTTTTTTTAAATCAAAGACGATGCCTGGATTAATGGCTACAATGAGCACGTTTTGCAATGCACACCTTTTCGAAGCGAAGTTTGAAGCAGGACACAGCAACTCTGGGCTCCTGCTCAATGTGTAGTCGGGACCTGTATTTTAGTTTACTGAAGTAGCAGTCACAAAGCGGCATGATTGTTGGCAATATTCGGCACGTTTCAAAATCAGCGTGATTGGGGTGTAATGTCTTTAAGTGACGCCTTAATTTATTTGGCTTCATGCTGTCCACTACTAAAATTTTTAGACAGTAAGCACATCAATCTTTCCTCGTCTGCCACCGCAGTCACATTGAAGCCAAGCGCTACATACGCCTCGTCATATTTCCTCCCTGAGAATGCTCCCTGCGCAAACTCTGCCAATGAGAGCGCCACTGCCCCCTAACGTAGTGGAGGTGCAACTGCACGTTATTTTAGGACAGTAAAAAAATAAAAAAAGCATGTTCCCCGAGGTCAAACGCGCCCACTATTTGAGAAACACTCGGTTAGATGAAAATCCTATTAAAAAAAGTTTCCTTTTTTTTTTTAAAGGGCTACAAAGCAACAAAATAGTCCAGACACACAACTATCTTGCCAGATATTTTATACAGTACTATGCAATGTTGCAATACAGCCGGAAACGCGAAAATAAATGCAGCAGTTGGGGGGAGACGTTCTGGTTGTTGTTGCGGGTGAAGCTAGCGTCATGTAACAATGATAATGTCTATAGTACGCAAATATATTCTTGTGAATAGTGGAGAATCTGCTATTTCTATTTCTATATCTGTGTTTTCTTTTCTCTTCTTTCTACCCACAATCTTGCTGCTGAAGGCTGTAAATTTCCCCAGTGTGGGACAAATAAAGGATATCTTATCTTATCTTATCTTATTTGGGCAAATTGAGAATTTTGTGTGAGATGTCCATTCCACTTTGTAGGCTGTGATTTGTTTTAACGCTTTTTTTTTTTTTTTTAATTAACCCTTTCATGCACCCTGTAATGCTGTCCACTGGAGTAACCGCTGTCCCTGAAAGGGTTGAAGCACAGGTGTCAAAGTCAAGGCCCGGGGGCCATATCTGGCCCGCCACGTCATTTTATGTGGCCCGCGAAAGCAAATCAAACATGTCAAGTTCCATGATGCTTGCTAAAATCTGATCCCAAATTTCTAATTGTCATATGTAATCCATAATAACAGTCACTATTCTTGACTTCTGATTTAAAAAGTAGTTTTTCATACATTTGTTGTGCACTGTGTATGTAATATGTGGAGGTGATTAAACATTTCTATGGTTCGCCAAAATTTGTAACGGCACTCCAAGGCAAACTGTAACTACAATGTGGCCCGTGACAAAAATGAGTTTGACACCCCTGGGTTAAAGCAACCGCTTTATTTAAAAAACAAAAACAAGTCACAATTAACGTAAATCAAGTTGGCCTGTTGCAGACGAACTTTGGTGTGACGCTGCCATTTTCAAGTGTCACTCCACATTTACTGTACGTCGCAGCCCGGCGATTCCAATTTCAACTGTTAATGTGATGCTTTTGAACATTGGCTAAAGGAATATATCACCCCTGTGAATCCAAATGAAATTGTATTCAGATTTGGCTCTCGTATTGCAATTTAGGGTGATTATATGGAGCATTTTCCTTGAGTTTTGGTCATTCGGTTTCATTCTAAACTGGATACAAGACACCATGTAAACGTAGCTCTTGTTCTGTGACGCAGGTAGTTTCAGTGTGCCATTTGTCAGGTTTGCAAATCACATTTCGGCATCGCGCGAGCACATTCTTGAGACGTGCACGTTTACCTGCGGTGCACACCTCTGCGGTCTCCCTCTAACGCTCTCATTGACGCCACAAAAGCAACACAAGACTACTGCCAGCTGTCGCTCGGGGACGCTTGAGGAAATCGCTAGCGATGGAATGTGAATGGGTGGGGTTTGCTCTCGACCGTCCTGCCATCGAAACTGTCACTTTTTTTTGCCGTCAATCATCTGGGAGCACACGCAGTCTTTCAGAGATGACACGAAATGGACACGCTCAGTACAAATTCTTCACCGGGAGACAATCGGCGGCAGGCGGCGAATGCATCTATCGCTCGTGCTCTTTTGTGATGAAATCTAGAGATGAAAAGTACGAACGGCCCCGGTCGCCACCCCGCCCCTCTGCAGTCTGGACAATGCATTCCAAAATCCCCGCCACGCTGCAAAATCCCTCTCAGCTTGCGTTCGACACCGTATTAAAAGTGACCCATTTTGTCATGCGCCGTTTGAAATGTCTGGGCAAGCGCCGTCGTGGCGGCACAGCAATGGAGAACAAGCGACGTCATTAAACTGCCTCAAGGAAAGAAGTCCGCCGTGAGATTTATTGGCACGCAATCGTATTGGAGAGGGGTGAGACGTAAATATTAATGAGGTCAGTCGGTTCCCCGTCTAGACATAGTCTCTAAATAAACTTGCATAGCGATGGGTGGCGTTTGTAAGCTAGGCCCATTGGTCATCACATTACCGGGAAAGCGTTTTTATTGTCACCAAGATGCATGCTAAATATAAAAGTAGTGACACAGGTGATAGCCTTTTGTGGGAATGTCTTTACAAAAAAAAATAATAATAATAATAATAACAATGAATGAGCCCTTCAGATGCCTTTCAAGAGGAAGTCAACCCCCAAATTTTCTTTACAGCAATGTTTTATGCTCCTCTGCTTGTCTAAATATGGCATTCTGATTCCTTTTGCATTTGTGGAATAAGAGTTAAGCAGCAAAATCCACATTTTTTTTGTTTTTTTCAGCCATCACAGGGGGCGGCCATTTTGCCACTTTGTGTCAACTGAAAATGACATCGGTTGCTCAGGGCTCAGGTAACAACAAATCACGGCTCACCTGTTTTCTACCAAAACGTCAACAATGCATCTTGTATTTACTTCGGGACATGTGGCCGTTCTCCCTGATGGAATCTCATTTTTGTGTTTCGGGCCTTGTGCCCCCAAATGTGACATTGGCGTGACGCAACGAAACGGTTCATCATCGTGCCACTGAAAAAGTGGGAAAGGGACATGAAGTCAAAGTCTCCGGCATTGATGTGGTGCACTGTCTCAGCATTTTCACTGTTTGGTGTCAAAAGACGATCCCAAGTGAGGCATTGACACAACACGAGCGTGGAGAGAAGGAGGGGGAAAAAAAAAAAAAAAAAATGCATCGTCACCAGTTGAGTGAAATGCGGTTGCGTGTGCTCGAATGGGATTTTAATGATCCACTGCACTTCCTGTGTGCTGCATCACATCGTGTCAGCTGGAGAGAGAGATGATGCGATTACTTGCCCAGAAGGGGGTCATCAACAAGGGAATGTGATTCAACCTGCCGGACACTAAGTCCCTGGCATTAGTCGCCGGCTCATCATGCTGTTTGAACACTCTTTCTCCTCCCGGTCTGGATTATTGAGGCATGCCAGCGCTCCTTAAAGGGCTTCACCTGATTTGGACAGTGCGTAGCTTTTCCAACTGGGAAATCCATAAGAACAGTCATGGCGACCGCACGGAGCGCTTTCCCTTCAGCTCTATCCGACGTCGAGGTTTTGTGTTATTTTGTTAAATGTTCTGTGAAGCGCTTTGTTCGAGCAACAGTTGTTGTGAAAGTGCTGGATAAAGATGCATAATATAATGTCCGACACACAATTTGAGATTTGGTGGTTTTTTTTTTTGGTGGGCAACTCCCCCCCCCCCCCTGCAAAAAAACCCGAACAAAACCACTGAACTGGTAATTCAGGGTTGAGTGAGAACTGTTTACACAAATGCCGAGGCATTGCCTAATTATCTATCAAAACAAAAGAGCGAGCTAAA